CAGCAGGGGTTGTCTTGGAAGGCTCACAGCAAGTCGAAGCATCGTTGTTCCATTCCCAGCCACCGGAGCACTGGGGAGGAGGATCTTCTTCCGAAGGAGGCTCCTGGGGAACACAGCACTCCTTGCCGTCATGCCATTCCCAGCCATTAGTTGGGCACTGGTTGGGACCCTGAGGAGGGGAAGGAGGGTTAGATTGTCCACCGTATGGCAAACAGCAGGATTTGTTGGGATAACTGACAATATCGTACATTAGCTTCCCAGTGACGTGGAAAACTACCAAGAGCACGCAAGACTCACTAGAACTCAATGTCGCTGCATTGAGTATTGGAAATTGCCAAAACATATGGGAGGGCAGCCGCAGCGACCAAAGCAAGGGATATGAAACGGGCCATGTAGAAGGATCGTGAGCTCGTAGGGAACGACAACGGCGAGAGAAGGAAGAAAGCTGTGGGAAGAAAGAGGGAGGCTCTTGAGAAAAGGTCCGGGCTGCTGTCGGGTGCGCGTTTTATAATGAGATCTCGCGATGACCGCCCCGGCGCCGGCCGTCGGTTAATATGCGCGTTTAACTTGAGATGGATTCATCTCGCCGCTACCAACGCATGTCCGGACGGCTGCAGACAACAAGGCAGCTTAACCCCTGCACATCACAGATCCGGGCTACCAATCCACAGGCCAGACCTGATAAAGGTGCTTCAAGAGGTCCATCCTCACTTTGTAAATCTGTTCGCTGCGATGCCGTTGACAGTTGACCTGTGTACATGGGAGACGCCAACACCGCAGTTTGAACGCCCGAGCGGTTGGTTCCAGAATCGACCGGCTCTACCATTGGCACCCGGTGGGACGTCTTCGATCGGCTTTGAAACGGCTACAAGGGTAGCCCGTTGCCATGCAGAAGCTTCACTTTCACGTCTGGCGGTCGTAGACTCGTACATAGTTGCCCCCCATTCCCCTCATGATATTCTTGGCTTCTCAGCGCCTAATTCGTCCTCTGACACTCGTAGTGTCGGGCGACGCAGGAGCAGTGGGGGAGAGTGAATCAACAAGAAAAACCACTCGTCATGCACGATCGCTTTATGTATACGTAGAAGACACAACTTGTACACTACATTTCTTGCGCGTCGACCTCTGATATTATAAAACAACGAAGTTGAATCAGACTGTCATGTTATATGGACAACTCAAGCAGGGTCGGGTATTATGTCAGGCTGTCATAGCTGCAGTCACGTCAAGCCATCAGGGTTGTTTTAGTCCAGCAGCGGCTAGTGAAAGCTTACCTCCCGCCTCGTGAGTTTTCTGTAGCCCACGTGCAGCGAAGAATCGCACATCAGCGTCTTGATCGTTCTTCAGCATCTCCAAGACTGGGAAAACCTTCTGCTCAATCAATTGCCGACCTTCAGCACGGTCACCGAATGTCGTCCCCAAGACCTCAAGAGCCTTCGCAACGTTGAACCTGATGTTAGGTATAGGATCATTGGCTAGTTGCAGCAGGGTCTCGAGTATGTCGCCACGAACGATCTCGAGAGTGAATGAAGGTGCAATGACCTGGGATAGTGCGTACGTGAGAGGCGACTACGACTGGATGACAAGTGACTCACCGTAATTGCCTGTACTGTGGTCATTCGATACAAATAGTTCGGGTGTTGACCCATGCCAACCACCTTGGGTACGATCTGAACCTTGGCCCAGTCTACACCGAATACCTCCGTCAATTTCTTAAGGTTGACGATCGCAGCTTCTCTAATGCTGAACACTGTATCTCCCAGCCATGACATACAAAGATTTCCTAGTTGCTCATCGAAGAAAGGCTTCCCCAGCTGGTTCGCAAGGAGAGGTATATACTCAATGATGGCTTGCCGCACGCGCCACGATTTGTCTTCGGCAAGCTCGACAATTGCAGGAAGCAAGCTCTCCGACAGGAGTTCAATCCCGATCACTAGATGTTATCTTAGTAGGCGTCGTCTCCTCGAGCAAGGGATAGAAACATACCAGTATTGACCTGCTCGAGTTTACTGATAATGTTTAACCGCACCTCAGGGAACTCATCCTTGAGAAGGTGGAGAAAGAGGGGCAACAGGTGTTCGATTGTAGCGTCCTTGCCTAGGAGCGGTGCAAGTCCGCTTATTTGATTAGCTAGGGCTGCGCGAACATGTTGAGAGGTGTCTTGACAAAGATCTCGCACGCAAGGCACAATACGTGCCAGTATCACTTCCTTTTCGAGCAGCTTGGAAAACCCTACATATCGTGTGGCACACTGTGAGAGCAAATAAGGACGAACAGGTGATCACGACTACCTGGGATCTGTCCAGCTGCGGCAGTTCTAACTTCAGCTTCATTGTCTTTTAGAAGCTGAACATAGTGTCCGATCAGCTCCTCTCTCACCATCTCCTGTCCCACTGTCTCTGCGAGCTGATGAAGCTCAGTACCTTCACAGCACAAGTAGAATTCGACCGGGAGGACCAACCTCGTTAAAATGACTGGCTGCCATATATCGTACTCTCCAACTCTTGTCAGTAATGGTTTGTCGAATTTGCTTGAGTAACAAGTCCTTGACTTCTGCCGGTGTCAAATGTTGGGCAATTGCGATCAGGTCCTCTACGGTCAAAAGGCGGACAGAATCTTGATCATCCGACTGCAGTCTCCGGTAGACGGCCAGTCCATCTGCTAGAACGTGAGGCTTCGACAGCTTCTTGATAAACGGCTATGACGAGCAGAATGAAGTCAGCATGAAAATTTAGCCTTCGTACATTAAAAAAGGCGTACCCCAAGCCATTTCGCTGCCGCTCGCCGCACCATCGGGGTATCGTCCGTTCCTAGAGAAGCAAAAGCTCGGCGCAAGTCATCTTGCATTGCGGTCCCAACTTTGTCATACACCGGCGCATACAAGGCACATGAGGAAGTGCGCGACGTGAACCACTCGCCACGCGACAGCCGCTGTACTAGAGGAAGGTAGTATTGCTCTATTTGACTCGAGTTCAATACCTCAGATACTTTGGTAATGGATTCTGCAGCCTGATAGTCGGACAGTGCCATCGTTAGATGAATAGGGAGTCAATTAGTTTGAGGCAGTAGAGCATACCTTGTCCCTGACAAGCGTCTCCTCGACCGCAGAGAGATTCTCCAGGGGTCCGAGCAGCAATTGAGCGTACTCGGCGCCACCGATGTACTCCTCAAAGTTTCTACCAAGTTCCTCAGCTAAGGCAAGCAGGACCTCGTCCTCATCATCGACAGATTCTTGCAAGAAAGGTATAAGCTCGCCGCGAGCGCGTTCTGGGCCAAGGGCGAGGGCGATTGTTGAAATGCGGTGAATGGCGTTCAGTCGAAGTTGAACATCCTCCGAACGTAACTCATCCATAAGGATGGCGATCGGAGCAATCTACACGTATATATATTCACGCTTCCTTTGTATATTTGGACAAAAACACTCACATCATCCGTCGAAAATCCTGGATCCATGATCGACTTTGGCGAGACGAACTTTGTTAGATGAGGATGCCGGTCGACAACGAGTGATCCCAAGCACAATCAACTGAGTAGATGTAATGGATGTGGAGTACGCAGTCGGTATCTAGCGAAATGGGTAGAGTCGAAGAAACAGAGTGTCGACAATCGAGTCTGAGCGACGAGACCAGAAGACTTTCGCGCGCGTGTCCGTGCGCCACAGCTTCGCCTGGATACTATCAGCCTTCGATTAACTGGTCGGTTTTTTTGGGTCGTTGGGCATTTCCTCAGCTTAGCTCGCCGAGACACACAGTATTTGGATTCAAAAAAAGTCACTTATTACAAATAATAACATTTTATAAAAACAACCTCGCAAGTGACAAAAGCATCTCTTCGCGAAGAAGAGTGAAGTTCCAAAAATTGTGGCGTTAATTGCGACTCGTCCGAGTCACAATAAGAGATGGTCCCCAAGTTCCAAAGCCACTGCAATGCAAGTTGATATGTGAGCATTGCATACGACATAAGAAGACTTGTAATTACCTTTATTATAGACAGTTGCCCACAAGAAGGCAACTTAGCTGTTGTAAATACAACAGCTTCAATTTGCCACATACTACGGGCGCAGTATGCGTCCTGACGAAAACTGAAGGCATCTACTGAGTAGAATAACTCTTCAGTATCGAAGGGGATTGTAGGTGTCGCAACTGAGAATTGCATCGCCTGTACGAGAGACTCATCAACGCAGCGAAATACGCTGGCCAACATGTCGTATGTGCTACACAGCCATGTATGAATGTATGACGACCGGCGAGCATAAGTTCCCACATCGGGATAATCTGGCTGTCGCGATCGCAACAGCTTCGGTGGGGCCGCATACTGCAGATGCGATTACAACCCCAAGCGTCCTTACGAAAACTGAAGGTGTCTACTAAGTAGAACAGCTCTTCAGTATCGAAGGAAATCGTAGGTGTCGCAACATGAGACTAGCCAACGCAGCGAAAGACACTGGTCAACATGTCATATGTGCCACGCAGACATGCACGACGACCGGTGAGCATAATTTTCCACAGTGGGTAATCCATGCTACGCAGTGTGTACAAGTAACGGGCCATGTACCGCTGGACATATACACCATTCGGTGCAGCGCAACCGATCAGTGGCAATGTTCACAGCAGTGATCGAGGACCCATCCCTAGTAAACCAGGGTCTAGGGCCGAAGGTATTATCGCGATGAGACTCGAGCTTTGTCGCATATCACATGGATACACGGACGACACCGATAAATAGTATTCTCGGATGTCATAAGCAAAGCGATCCCAAAGCAAATGTCTTTTTCTATCCAAGGATGCACTTCTGTGCACATCGCATGCACAAATCTGCCGAAAGATACCAGAAATATCCTCGTACAGATATCAGAAGCAAGCCCGGATAAAAATCATTTACGCATCTTTATCAACAACGTCACCAACGAACTACGAACTGCGCATATGGGACGCGTAGATCGAGTGCGGCGAAAACATCATCGTTCGACATTGTGGTGTTTATTTCATAGAAATTCAAGTCCACTGTTTTGCAACAGCGTCAGCTTCATGGTAATGATGATCAAATGGCAATAGCGCATTTGCCGATTTTCATGGAGTACGCTTCGCCGCACAACTGAGTGTGGAGGACGCCGATAGCGGGAAGCCTCGTACGCCCCACTCGAAGCTGCCATGTGAGGTTCTTATCTTTGGTTCATACCGCCGATGTCCATGACGTTGGCACTTCAGGGGACGACAGATTTGCGTCAAACCTCCATCATCAGGCGGATGTGTGGTCCGGCCATGACTTTGTCCATGCTACGCCAAAGACACAGGGCATCCGATAACCGAATTGCAGTCTCGTGATGCCCTTGCCATGGAGGCCGACGATGTGTGCAACATCAATGCGTACACCTAGACGGTGATCAAAGAAGGGAGCAACAAGTAAGAAAACAAAAAAAACATACTTCGAGACAAACTGAAACCGAGCTGAGGCACGACGCAATGCTGGAGCTCCGAAACAGCTTATATTGTATATAGGAAGCTTAGGGCAGGCCGAGACGAGCGTAGTCATGTGCTGTGTCATTGGTCAGCGGTCCAGATGACGTCATTGAGGCTTGCGAGCCTCTCAGGTCATCTCCTGGGTCTTCAGTCACTCAGTACTCAGCGCCAGCAATCGCCGTCTACCCTCATGCCCGTCGCGCAGCAGTCAGGGAAGGTGTTAATCAGCCATCCAAAGGTGTGTCGCTGTCGGGCTTCGTCTTATCACTATGCCGACCACAGCGTCCAGGGTGCCTCGGCAGAGATTCTGTTATACGGTGCGACCGTCATCTCCTGGAAGTCTGGTAGTATACCTAGCCCGGAGCTTGTCGAACGACTTTTTGTTTCATCAAAGGCCACCTTGGACGGCAGCAAGCCCGTTAGAGGTGGAATTCCCGTCGTCTTTCCGTGCTTTGGCGCTCCCACCCATCCCGAACATTCACTACTTGGTCAACATGGGTTTGCACGCAGCGAGCTGTGGACATTCCATAGCATTGTGATGGACAATGAATCTGGCGTATCTGTGAAGCTCAGTGCGTCAGCTCGTTTGTTGGTCATCTCTCAATGCCACTGAAGCAAAGATTATAGCTCTCGAACCGAAAGCCAGTATCACTGAGAAGTTCAAGCGGCCTTTTCACCTCTCATATATTGTGACACTAGCGGAGCATCAATTGTCCACCGATCTTCACGTCAAGAACACTGGCTTGTCCACCTCACCCCCTCTCGAATTCCAGGCGCTCTTTCATAATTACATTCGCGTACCTTCTGATGACGTCCTTGTCACTCCGCTGCAAGGAATCACATACTACGATAAGACAGAAACCTCCGAAGAACTCCGCAGCCTTCCCAAAGTGGAAACGCGAGCCAGTGTCGATGTGCGGGAATTCACGGACTTCGTGTACGAGAATGCACCCGGGACCTATGAGGTAGCTTCGCCAGTCAGCAGGATCGAAGTCAGAGCGACAAATCTCAAAGACGTAGTCGTATGGAATCCCCGAGCCGAGGCAGGATCAAAGATAGCTGATATGGAAGCTGGAGGATGGTGCGCAGGTTTCTTTTTTTTTTCAAGCGCTCAATGCCTGAACAGTACCATATACCCAGGGAGAGGTACATTTGCGTCGAACCAGGATATGTACGCGGATTCGTGGCAGTTGAGGCAGGACAGACATGGATTGGCCAGCAAGTGTTAACAGCTAAGCTTTAAAGAAAGAAGAGAGATGTCTGTACCAACATGAACTTGAAGCGCGATACGTGATAGGTGTGACAGACCACGATGTGACCATCTATGCTTGAGTGTGACAAGTCGCGTCGACGCGTCTTAGACTTGCTCGTATGACAGGGTCCGCTTGCTCGTATATAATGCGACGACATGGCCACCAATGAACCCTCCCTACGTGTACGCGTAAATCAGATTGATCACACACTCGCCCACCCTGGCCCGCTTGACAATGCCACCCTTCCTCGAGTGCCTATTATCCGAATCTACGGAGAGTCGTCCAGAGGCAAGAAAACTTGTGTACATGTACATCAAGTGTATCCTTATTTCTTTATTGAGTACATAGGCAAGATGGATCCAGACAGTGGTGAGCGTGCCTCCCCTTGTGCTCTACCCAGTGCTGAGCCGATCGTTCAGTGAATCGCTATGTCGCGAGGATCTCCCACTCGTTAAACCGTGCTATTGCTATATCATTGAAGCGCAATCCTCATTCACCCAAATCTCAGTTTGTCCGCGCAGTCCTGCTAGTGAAGGGCGTCCATTTCTATGGCTTCCATACATCATACTCTCCGTTTCTCAAGATTCTTATCGCCGACCCCACCTTCGTGAATCGTGCAGTGACAATATTGCGAGCGGGGACAGTCATGAAAACCAAATTTCGTGTCTACGAGAGCCATCTGAGTTATCTGCTGCAGTTCTTATGTGACTTCGGTCTTTACGGGTGTGGTTGGATGGATCTTGGTGAGGTGTGGGAGCGTAGCGGAGATGATGGTCATGATTTCCTACACAGTGACATCGTTTATACTAGCTCCGAAGAATCGGCAACGAATGGTAACTTGAAACCCTCCCCCTATTTCCGTCAATCCCGTTTACCCCTTGAAGTTGATGTGGCGTCTCACCAAATTTTAAATCGGCATCTTATATCTTCTCGCAATATTCACCACAAGCTCACCATTCCTGCGGATCCGTTATTAGCTGAACCCTTAGTGATCAGCGTACGTGAATTATGGGAAGATGAGCGTCGTCGGAGACTTGCCAAAGGTTTGTCCCCATCTCCAGAGATACCACAAGATCCAAGTGTAAAATCCAGGGGTCGCGGTGGGGAATGGGTAGCGGAAGCGCGATGGTGGGACGAGATCAGGAAACGGATCACTAAAGAGCAAGACCACAAAAAGCTTCTTAGTAACAGTAAGGGCTGGGAGAAGTGGGTGATGACCACGTTTGAGAGCATTGAGGCTCTATGGGGAGCGGAGTGGAAGACGTGGAGACCTGGTCAAGCCGAATTTACCGAGGTGGACAAGTTGGGTAGCGGAGGGGAAAATCCATACGCTATCGTGTCAAGCGCCCCGGAAGACGACCCTGCGCTAGCGGAAGCGGATATAGATGAAACAATGCTTTCTAGTCAAGCCATGGAGCAGCTCGTCGCAGAAGGGGAAGAAAACTGGAAGAATGAACATGTCGACGATCACCAGGCTAATGAAGAAGTCCATGAAGATGAAGATGCTGC